ATGCGTTAGTGAGGTCAATAAAAAATATTGCGATTATTATTATGTATTTATTATTTGCAAACAAACGAGTACTTACTATTGGTAGCTGTGATAGTGGCAATAGACAAACGAAAAAGCACAGCTGAGTAAATACTTGCGTTTTTCTGTTTGTACTTATGTAGCAATCATACAAACTATTTATATGTAGCATCCTTGGCAGCAACTGAGCGATAACTGTCTACAACAGAATTATGCCCTTTCTAAATATCGCTTCCTCATCGCTTCCTTCACTTGCACATTCAAGTTGTTCGCAACTCTGCACATACATACTCCTCGTATAAATCCAGGAGTGTGTCCTCATCAGAATTTGTGTACATACATAAAAATTTCTATGATGCATGTGATGAGTGTTCATCGTTACATTTTCTCTTATTTGTTGTTATTATGTAATGCTTGATAAATTGTTGCGTAAACAATAACAACAAATGCTTTTTATTAAGCATACCTACATAGATGGAAAAAACTACTACAACAACGATATTCTCAGTAAAATTGTTAAAAGCACACAGCACACAACACACAGGTGATCGCATGCGGTAAAAACACATGGTGCCTGAAACGACGACAACTCTTACAAATGGCTATTGCAAGTTTTGAAACAACATAAACTGCATTTTATATATTTTCTGTGAGTGTATGCAATTGTGTGTAAGTGCATAACAAAGCATTAGTTTAACCAAAGTTAGTTTAACTAGAATGTAGAAAACTAAATGATAGAGTGAAAGAGATGGTAGTTGTAGGTGCCCCTTGGCGTATGAGCAACATTTGTGGTATGAACTTAAAAAAAAAAATTTACTTATACTTTGTTGTTTAACCATTTTTCCTAACAAACAAATCGTGGTACAAAGCTCAATAACACTATTGAAATAAATATTAATATGCCACAACAAAATTGACAAATGTTAATTTAATTTGTGGAAATTATCTGTATGTTTCTTGAATGGATTTTATCGTTTTTTGTTTCTTCACAGTTGCGGATATGCGCATTTCCAATGAGATTTGTACGACAAAAAGTAAAAAAAAAATGCATAGGCCAGAATTTTTAAGAGATTTTTCTATATTTACATAATTATTAAATAACACTTTATTCACTTAAAAAAATGACAACCATTGGAAGTAGAGATTTAAAGATATAAGCAAACATATGCGCTGGCATGATGTAACAAAAAAAAGAAATGGTAGGTGACTTGGATTACAAAATTGCCAAACTCTGTGAATTGGACAAGACTATTTGTATACAATTTTTGGTAGTAATATTCGAACTAATTAGGGTTAATTTTCCAAGCTTTAAATGTAAAAATCTTTCCTGTTTTTTTTTTATCAAAATTGAGTTGAGTTGTGTCACCGCCGCACACAAAAGTCCCATTAACCCGCATTCTTAGCGACAGATGAAGTACGAGATTTTTCGGTTACCTTCAAGTAAAATGGTTTGCACGAACATCTAAATATTTGGAAAAAAATCCACGATTACTCAGTAGCTCATACGCTCGGTGCTTAAACTGCAAGCATTTCAGCTTGTAGCCTAATAAACACATACATATAAGTATGTATATATGTATATCTATATGCTCAAGGAACATTTCTGCATCAAAAAGAAAATTTTTGAAACAAAAATTCGCTTACATCTTTTTGGCAGTTAGGGCTCGATATATCAGATTTATCTTATCAAGTGAGATCGATAAAAAAATCATAAAGTTACGCTCGTTTATTTTATGGTGTCACTAACCTTCTGATGCTGCTCTTGTTTTCGTCTCCTTTTATATTCATACGCTTCTACACCTTGAACCTTGCATAACTTTTTCTCTGCTTCTTAAGCAATGTAATTTCCTTGTTTGTCCTCTCTTTTTCACACCAATTGTATGTTGTTAGGTTGAAACTTGTTTAGCCGAAAATATTTGCGATCATAAATATTTCGAACTGATGTACAAGTTTATAGCTTTAGTTTGTATGTAATTCATAAATCCATATCGATGGTCCC